CCCGGCCCGGCCCCAGAGCTCGGCACAGCCGAGCCAGCCGGAGGAAGGACACCAAATCCAGCGGCTTCGTCTGCAGTAACGAGGGGACCCCGCCAGGAATGCACAGGTTCCCTCTGTTTGCCCGTGCCCCCCTTGTGTTCCCCCTTCCCCGGGACAGTTTGGTTTGGTTTGGTTTGGTTAGTTTCTTTTTGTTTTGTTTCATTTCGTTTCGTTCTGTTTCTATCCGGCGGGGATGGGTGTGGCGGGCAGTGGTGTTAAGGTCGGGCAATTCAATATCTAGCATTTAATCATTTTCTTTTTCCGTGCTGTGCGGGCACTCTGGGAATAAACGATTGGGTTTTTTTCACTTCCATCCACTGCTGTTAACCTCCTATTGGAAGAAAGGGATTCCTGCAACCCTTCTTTAGAGGAAACACTCGTTCCAGAGAGTTTTTCTCCTAAGCTTGTCTCGGTTAAACCGAGACACTCATCTAGGTGGCATTTGGATGAGATTCAGACCCTCCAGGATGGAAACCCAGCTCTCCAGGGAGATCACCGTATCACCTCCTGGCCTCTTTCCCGGCTGGAAGGGAAAGGACAGGAGTCGGGGAGGGGGACAGGAAGAGAAGGCAGAGCTCTGCCGAGGCTCTCCTTGCCTTGGGGTCAGAAATGCGCGTTTATCGCTCCTTGGCTGTGTTCATCCAGCGGGGATTAACCCTTCCATAGGCACACAGCGACAGGGGTGAGCTGCAGGGAGCATTTGGGCAGGCCAGCAGGAACTCAGAAGAGGCTCCAGCAGCCCTTTGGGGCTGTTAAACCTGCTGGAATGTGAAACAGTCTGGAAGATTTCCAGTTTCTCCCAATTCCCGCTTTTCAGTCAGGAACAAGCGCTGCAGGACGCAGAGAAGGCTGAACAGAGCACAGGTTACTCACCAGCCCCAGTGCTCTGGTTTATTACTTCCAGATGTTTCTGTACATGTGGGAGTCATTGGTCACAGGAAGGAGGGGAAAAGTGAAAGCTGTGGCTAAATTCCCCCTCCTCCCCACACTGGGGTGCTGGGAAGGGATGGGGGAGCATTTTGGATGACAAGAGACTTCCATGAGTCACCAGAAAAACCCAGTGGTTGGGTCTGGTGCAGGAACAGCTGGATCAACCCCCTTCCTCTACAGGCTGCTCCTAGGAGCCCAAGCATCACAGCTAAAGGGAAAGCAGGAATTCCTACTCCAGGCTTTTCACAAATGCTTTATTTGTAGGCGAGGGAGATGGACACAGAACAAGACAAAACCAGGAAGAGGCTGACACAGGACACTGTGGCGTGTGGTCTCCAGAGAACTGACACCCCCCCCCACACACACACACCCCCACACACAAACACACTCATTTTCCTTCTGGAAACAGCAAAACTTGGAGCAAACAGCCAGTCCCATTGCCGCCTGTCGGATGCCACATGGGCACAGTGCTGAGGGGGCAGCATGGACAGACAGACGGCACAACCAAGGGATGCAGGTTTGGGCAACACAAAGGGCACTTCCAGCCTGTGAGCAGAGCACCAGGCTTGGGGATGGGTGGGAGAATGCACGAGGGACAAGGGTTCTTAGAAGTGAAAAGCCATCAACTCAAGTTTTTGACCTTGCCTAAAGATCCAGGTGTGGATTTCCAAGAGTGTTATTACCAGCTCAAACCAGTGGACGGCTGGCTGCCAGGCACCTCCACACAGCCCTTCTCCCAAAGCCTTCCTGCTCCCAAAAGAAATGGCAGTAGTGGAGAAGAGGAAAAGTGTCAGTGCTAAAGTCACAGAATCAGAATAATTTGGGTAGGGACCAACCTTAAAGCCCATCCAGTGCCACCCCTGCCCCGGGCAGGGACACCTTCCACTGTCGCAGGCTGCTCCCAGCCCCATCCAGCCTGGCCTTGGACATTACAGGGATCCAGGGACAGCCACAGCTGCTCTGGGCACTCTGTGCCAGGGCATAAGTTGTACAAAAACTTCTCCCTAGTACCCAGTCAATCCTCCTGTGGGGGATTCTCCAAGGTCTGTGTTGCCCAGCTCCGGTTTTTTCAAGTCATCCCAATACTGCTTGCAAATCACAAACACGTGGGAAGCAGGGCCGGAATGGGCTTCCTCAGGCTGTCCAAGCCTTTCCCTGGCCAAAAGGGGAAAAATAACAACTTTTCCTATTGCTGCATCACCTCTGCAGACCCCCTGTCAAAATCTGAGGGGAAAATTCTGGCTGGAGAGCCCCAGGCCTGAGTTTAATTCCTTACTCGAGGGCTGATTTATTCAAAGCAAGAGTACCTGCTTTGGCAATAGAGGAAATAATCTTTTTCCAACAATCCCAATGCTCCAGTCTTCTGCAAATCCCTATGGCTTTGTCCAGTATGCATAATCTGGCAAAACCCATCCTAGGTCTCAGACAATTATTTATTTAATTTATTCAATTAAAATGAAGGCTGCAACAGACCAGCATCCCAAAGTGCATCTCCTGCTCCTGCCAAACCTTGGGATCCTCCATTGGGAAAGCTGCCACTGATCCTCAATCCAACAAGTGAAACAAAACCAAGAGAGGTTTCTAAGTAATCAAAAGGCTGCCGGAAAAATGCAGAGCTGGGAGTTTTGGGGGAGGAATTTCTCTGTGTCCCTGTTTCTCGTGAGCCAGAGTGAAGACTCCTTCTCTCTGCAGTTACTTTTACCACAGCCCGTGTACCCTTCACCAAATGTCATTTATCCCAGCCTGAAGCCCCCTGGAAACTGCAGCAGGAGCATTAATGCTTCTCAGACAAAAGTCCAGTCTCAAAAATGTACATGGCTTGACAGAGCCGAAAGGAATTTCCCTTCCACCCATCCCCACAGCGCTGCTGCTGTCCCTGGAATCCATTTTTTAATCAGTGCCATGAATCCCTGAACAGCCACCTATGCAGGGCAGGGCAGGGCTGGGAGCTGGCACGGAGCGACGCACCAGTCACTTCAATAGGCTCTTGAAATATTTATTTTCTTTTCACTCACTCAATGTTAACAGCAAAACAGAATCCCAGGCAGCCCACAGGATTTCAGAAATCTTTCCTTTTCCAGTGGAGCTTCTACAGAATACAAAACTGACAGGCTTTCCACAGAGGGTTCTGTTTGGTCGGGCTTTTTTACGAGCTCACAAATCAAAGGGATAACCGAGGAATCACTCCAAGTCAGACTCTCCAAGTTACTTCACCACGGAGGAATGTGACTTCACCACGATCATTCATGAGGATGATCCCGGGAAGTGAGACTGGATAGACACGCTGGATAAGTTCATCCCTAACAATCTGAACAAAGGAGTCTCCCGCAAAAGGGAATTTTGGCCATTGTGGGGACACGGCTGGGGAAAGAACTATTTTGCATCTTGGCTACTGAAGATCCATTGAATCCATCGGGAACTAGACCAGGGTGGACGTGACATCAAATTAATGCATTGACGCGGTGACTCACAGAGGGAAGCGCAGAGAGCCAGCAATTGCTCTTGTCACACCTGAGTGCCAAAGTGCCAGGAGGGCATTCCTGTCTGCAATGAGGCTTTCCTGTCTCTAATCCAGGCGCTTCCCAGCCTGATGTGTCAGGGAAGGACAAAGGAGCAAGGCCACCACGGCTGCTGTGCCTGGTGAATCACAGCTCAGCAGAGCTCCACCGGGCCCAAGGCCATGGTTAAACCCTTTGTCCCACCTGCACCTCTCAAGTGCCAAGAATTCCTGGTGGCTCTTGTCATGGGATGCACACGGCAGCTCCCAAATCACCACAGAACTTTGCCTCGGCAGAGCAGGGTTAAAATCATCGGACAGCAGCAAGGGGTTATGGACACCAGGCAAAAAAAGGGATTTCACACATCCACCAGCAACATATTGAGGAAAACTGCTCCAAAACATGTCTGCTCTTACACTCAAAAGTGACTCTTGGGTGAAAGCAAGCCCAGGAACTGTCTGTGGATAACTGAACCCTGAAAAAAAGCTCTCTGTGCACATGGAATTCTGGAAGTCAGGCAGCAAAGTGATCTAGGAAGCAACAGTGGGAACAAGGTCCTTCCTCTAATACTGGGGAGAACAGCTGCCTACACCTCTGCATTAACATCAGCAGGACTGACTCCAAGCTCTCCCAGGGTTTTTCCCACAGCCCATTCCATGTTTTTCCATCCCAAAGGCGCAGATCTCTGCCCAGTTGTGTGTGGCAGCTACAAGAAGGGAAGAACAAACACATTCCAGGGGCAGAAAACAGGCAAACTGCCTGTTGACCACATTGTCCCTGCTCTCTTGGGTGTTCCCCATAAATGCAGGTTCAGAGTCATCTGGCCTGGGATGTGTCTGTAGCAGATGGAGTTATTCACGCTCTCCTTCCCAGAGAGGATTTGAAACGAGCACCTGACAAACTGCAAGACTCTGAAATGGAGCTCACAGTCCCCCCCTCGCCTTTTAGATTTACAATCCCATCCAACTTTGCCCAGGAAAGTGGCCTCCAGGCTTTTCCCACAGCTTAACCCCTAAGGCTGGCGCTGGTGAGATGAAGCCTGAGCTCCCAGTGAAGCCCATTCCTCGTCTGCTTTAGGGGAAAAAAAATTGTATGTATAAAACACAAATCTAAGGGGCACTTCCAAGATGATTCAGTGATTCCACGGAGAAATCCTGAAGCCTTTGGCTGTGCTGCAATGCCCTCAGTGGATCTGGACTGCCAACAGCCCTTCTGCAGCTGGGTCCAAGAAAGCCTGAGAATCGGTGGAGACCGGTATGACTGACTACATGGGATTCCAGGAGGTCTTTCCTTGTGGCAGCAGAAAAGAGGATCCCAGTTCCAAGGGCCTGAAGAGCTTTTCATGGTCTTCAGTAGAAGCTGCTTCCCAGCAAGGAAGTCCCTAAGAATTTAGATATTCTGGAGAGCTAGTTCTAGGGGATGAATCTCACACCAACTTCTCACTGCTGCTGGACTGGGAGATGAGAGGATATGGATACATCACAGTGGCCTCTGGTGCAGTTTATTTACAATGGGAATCAGTGCTGGAGAACACCAGGATATTAACAAGCAGGAAACACACTAGGAGGCAAAAAAGAGAATGGAAGAAAGACTCCACGTTAGCATCAAGGTATTCTCTGCAAACTCTGCAACAACCTAAATTTAGCTGAGAAGTCCTTAGGTCTTCTCCCTCTCTCCCTATTTACACATCAACTTACACTATCAAGCTTATCAATCACACCCTTCTCTCACTGCCTGACTGATCACAGGGGCCTTGCTTCCACAGGCCATTTTGGTAAGAAAACACATGGATAAGTATGGAATGTCTGCAAAGTGAAGCACACAGCTTTACCTGCCTCATCTCACCAGTATTTCTTAGCAAAGGGAGTGTGGTGCAAGTTGTTTCCACAACACAGGGCCTTGGTTACTTAATGAAATATTATTTAAGCTAACTGCCATAAAATTTGGCATTTTGCTTTCTGGCAGGCTATAAAGAAGGAAATCTGCTTTGCTCCTCCCTTCCAAGGAAGGAGGTTTCATCAGCACATGTAAATACATGAGACATTTAAAAGGAACACAAACACCGAATGTATTACTGGCTGTGATTCAGAGCTGTTTGTTTATCTGTGGTTTTTAGCACCATGCTAAAATTCCAGCCTCCCACCTCGAGAGCCAAACAGGCAGTGAGAGCAGGAGCTCTGCTCAGGAACACAACTCCATGGAGCCTTACCACTGGAATCCACCAATGGGCTCTGTAAACCTGTGACGGATCAGGAACGTTGCAACAGCTTCAGCAACCTGAGAGAAGGGAAAAAAATAGCTCAGGATTTAAAGGGACACAAAGAGAAGACAAAACCCAGGCAGTTTTAAACAAGAGCTCTGTGTAACACACCTCCACCTTTACTCTGACACTGAGCCTGCCATCAAGAAGTGACCAAACCTTTTCTCCACCCATTTCAGTAATTCTTAAAACAATGTCTAAGTTTAGCAGGGAGGAAAGGTAAATTCAGGATGCCAGACAGTAACCTGGAATGGTTTGGGGTGGGAGGAACATTAAAGCTCATCCAGTTCCAACACCTGCCATGGGCAGGGGCACTTTCCACTAGACCAGGCTGCTCCAGGCCCTGTCCAGCCTGGTCAATATTGCTCAGAATGTATAAAAAAAGAGTTACAGCTTAAGAACTCAGTATGTTTAGATAAAAATACCTATTTCAGACTGGTAAAGTGAAGCACAGAAAGGCTGAGTTTTAACACAGCTGTCAGTGCAGAATGAGCTTTAAAACCAGATGTGCTCCCAACCACAGGCTCCAATGGCTGCACCGCATTCCTGCTTCCATCTGGACACAAACTCCAGCAGTGCCCAGAAGCAGCACTGCTCTGTCAAAGCTGCTGCAGGAACATTTGGTTTCTATTTGGAAAATGTGAGCCACCCAACTCAGCAAAATACAGACCAACCCCCAAAGCTGCAGCTTAGTGCAAGGGAAGTGGGGAACTGCATGAGGAAAGGAAGGGAGGAGAAATCCACACTCCACATGGGTGGAATTAGGTACATCACCACGAGCCTCAGAGTTAAATCCATAGCCCAGCCCTGTGGCATGTAACATCTTAGCCAGGGCTTCCCAAACAGCTAAAAAATCCAAGCTGCTTGTGAAAGCCAGCTGTCGTGCCAAAAGATGGCCCTGAAGTATGATCTCTGCTGCATGGTAAGGAACAGATCCTTTTCTTGCATTTCAGATCGTGGCTTATGCAGCTTCAACCCCACAGTGGGGCTCACCTTGTCCGGAGCGTCTTCATGGACTGCGTGGCCACACTGTGGGAGAACCTGCATCTGGAACTTCCCTGTGGATTGAGAGAGTCAGCACACGGATCTCACGCTCTGCACCAACTGACCTCACTAAATGTAGCTGGAAAAGAGGCCCCTTTGGAAAAGGGATGGCAGGAAGTCTGGGCAGACTCCACACCATGCACAGCCCGTGATCTCCAGAGAAAACATGGACCAGCTGCTTAATTCACCTTCTCCAGGTATAACTAGAACAGGTTCCCAGGAGTTAAAATGAAGCTGAACTTCTCAGAGCTTCTCAGTGCAGGCAAGTGTCAAGAGTTAGAACTCTCACCAGATTTACCTTAAGGTAATGTTTATCCTGCTATCCAAGACTACTGTCTAGTACTGGTTGCTCTGGAAAGCAAAAATCCCAACCCAAACCCCAAAACAAGAATGACGATGCTTAATCTTGGTCTGCTGTCTGTCAGAAACACTGGGAGATGGGGCAGTTTTGAATGGTCCCAAGTGTTCTAGCTAGGAACATCAGGAATGTAGCTAGAAAGGGAAAAAATGGATTAGAAATCAGCCCTCACAGGCAATCATTCTGATCCTAGAGAAGTGTAGCAGCTCCACTGCTGGGAGCACTGAATACTAGATTGAACAAAACCCACAGCAACAGCCCTTTGAACTGAACCTTTCCCTCCTCACCTTCCCCATCTTTCCTTGGCCACAGTAGGAGAACACTTTGGGAGGGACGAATTCTTTAATGCCCGTTTGTTTGGATATTGACTGTACCCATAGCAACAAGCTGTCACGCAAAAAGAGCATTACAGTAAGGCTGAAGAGCAATATTAAATACTTACCTTGCATCTGTCCAATGGTCAGATCTTTATCCAGCCTGTCAACACCTACAATCAAATAAACACATGTTTTGGAGAACAGCCAGAGAGAATACAATTCTCTGAGCCAGGCTTTACTCTGTATTTTAAAAGAGACATTAGACTGAAGAACAGAAAATAAACACTTCTGACACCCACGACAAGGACATTTCACTGCTGCACCTTGAGAGAGTAAAGTTACAGGAAAGAAGCACAGCGAAAAAATGCAAGAGCACAGCCCTCCCTATGACTTAAAAGGATATTTCCATACTGTATTTGCTATTAAGGTACAAAAAGGGCTTAAAGCTGTATTTGACTTTCACTGGAGAAGTTCAGATCACACCACGCTATTTCAGGAGACACAGAGAAGCCCCGGTATTCCCAGGAAACACTTCAGCTCAGTGCTGACCCTGTCCTCTGAAATGCAAGTGTGACATCCCTGAAGTGCACACCAGGACTGGAAAGGACACGTACCAGCTAAAAGCAAAAGCTTTGGAGTCGGACAGCTGAGGAAGAGGTTGGATAAACCCCTGAACCAGCCATCCCAGTACTTTTCTGTTTTGGCCAGTTCGATTCGCCACGTGTACAAATGCTCCTTCTTTGTCTGCAGGGAGGAGAGAGAGCTCTGCATTAGTGATCAGTCAAACAGCAGAAAGAAAACCAGCTCAGGGAGCCACCTGGAAATGCATAAATACAGAGATATAAAAGATAAAAAAATACTGGCTCCCTCTGGTGGATTACACACTTCCAGGGATGACCCTCCTTGCTTCTACATCTCTGTCCAAATCAAAGTACATGAGTAGGCATCAAGAAAGTCAGAAAGAGCTACACCAAGAGGAGCAGAGCCTTCAGGAGAAGACTGCAGGATTCAGGGCAATCAGTTTGCTATTTTTTAGTGACACAAATAGCTCACAAATTGTCTGAACATTTGGGCTTGGCTCTCATCCAGTTTTCTCTCCCTGGAGTGGCTCCTTCATATCAGAATGATTTGGATAACCGCAGGTGACAGCTCTTGCAGGGCAAGCTGAAAACACAGCAACAAGCTCCCAACCTCTGTGTCATCCTCTTTCTTCCTTTTGTTGACAGAGCCTCCTCCTTCCTCATCCTCATCCTCCTCCTCCTCTTCCTCAATAATTCCCTCTACTATGGCTTTAGGGCATTCAGGACTGTCAGCCCCTTCGCACCTGTGAAAATAAAATCAGAAACTGATTCCCTGACGAAAGGAAAAATCCAAACCAAAACACCACCCAGGATTAAACCATAGGTGTTCAGCAATTTTGCTTGAAGAAATTTTCATTTTCAAGTGCACTTATGTAGCAGGGGTATTGTAAAACAGAAAAAAAAAATATTTTAAAATAGTAAATGAAATAAACCAAAGGCCACCTACTGTTTGACTTGACCGACCATAGAAACTCTGGCAGATTCAAGATTTCTTATCTGTCCACTTTTTACACTAGGGAAAGAAAAACATCATAAGACAGAAATATTTACTGAAGAGTTCCTAGAATCAGCAGGCCCAGAAACAGGAGTTAAACTCCTCCACAGCTCAGGATTTCCCCAAACCATTCCCAAAGCTCCTACTCTCAGACTGAACAGAGTTGCTCACTCCAAAGTGATGTGAACCTCCCCTTGTCACTGTAGCTGAGGTGGGGAAACAGTGAAATAGGGTTAAACCCATGGCAGAGGGCTGGGAGAGGGCCTGTAAACAGCCAAATTATATAAACTTTGTTTCCTTCAGGAGTCAGGCTACAAAGACAAGTGATTCCAGAGACTGAGCCCAAGCTTTACCTCCACTCAATGGCATTCTCCAGCGACTTGAATGTTTTGGGACGACTCCTTAGGAAGTTCTGCATGCTGTTCAAGGCATCCATGGCGGTACCTAAAAGCAAATGGCATCATCTTCATCAACTTCATGGCATCTGATTAAATTATTCCCACATCCCTCTATACAAAACTGGCTGCAACACCCTCACAGAGAGCTGGATCTCCCCAGTGATCTAATGCTGGTAAGGAAAGTACAGATTAGTATTTCTAAGCCAAAAGTCATATTGGAAAATTACTATTTGAATAGGTAGGATGTTCAGACAGTAAGAAAAAGCAGCAATCATTTATCAGCACCGAGCATTACAGCAAAAGCCACCCTCCTCCCCACCAAGAAAGTGTTTCAAAGAAATTAGTGCCACAGTCTGATTGACAAGGTGGTGTTAGATCATAAGTTTGACTCGGTGATCTCAAAGGTCTTTTCCAATCTAGTTGATCCTCTGATTCTGTGACATTAGCAGGAAAAAAGCAAACAGAGAGAGTACACCTGGGAAAAGGAAAAGGTAAAGGAAAAGGAAAAGGGAAAAAAAGGAAAAGGTAAAGGACAAGGAAAAGGCGGGGTCACACTGGAAAGATTTTTGTGCTTGCAGGATCTGCTAGGAGGATGGAATGGGTTTAGAGGTGGGGCAGACCCCTCTGTACTGGGGGTTTGTGGCTGAGAGGAGGGCTGGGAGGCAGCCGCCGGCGCAGGGGCGGCTCGCTCACTCACCTTCCACGACGTCGATCATGCAGAGCCCCAGCAGGCTGGGCAGCAGGTTGGCCACGGCGGTGTGCACGGCGATGGCCCCCCCCATGCTGTGCCCGATCAGCATGATGGGCGGCGGCAGGTCCCCGTAGAGCGCCTCCACCACGCTGCCCACGTCCCTGCGGCACAGCAAACGCGCCCTCGCACCCTGCTCACCCGCGGGCAGCACGCGGGCTTGCTGCTGGCCTGGACAGCCATGTCCTTTCCCCTTCTAGTAACAGAATCCTCACTTAAAAGATACTAATTTAAAAGATGTTCAAGCAGCCTGGTCTAGTGGAAGGTGTCCCTGCCCATGTGGATGAAATTTACAGTCCCTTCCAGCCCAAATTCTGTGATTCCTTGTAGAAAACATTTTAGGCTGACACTTGCTGGTGGGGATGTTAAATAAAAGGTGAGAAAAAGCTGTCAAATCATCTTGCATGGAAGCACAAACCAAGAAATTTATTGTTCTTAGAAGAAGAAACTGGAATTAGAGAGAGAAAAATAACTGGGCCCTGCTGACTGTGGCAAAGAAGAACAACACTGAGCATGAGCAAAAAGACTGAGACTCTCTGTGAGCACAGACAGGCAAGGGGCAATTTCCTCACCCTTCCCAGAAGGCCCCTCCTATTAAACTGAAGCTGTCACTTCTTGACACTTTTCCCAGGATGGGAAAGCTGGCTGGTATGATTCCCAAACCCCAGAACAGCAGCAGAGCTAACAGCTGAAATCTCCTGAAGAGCAGTTTAAAGACATCCCCCCAGCTGGCTTTCCTGACTACAGCCATTCAGAGGAAGCTGAGAACTGAGCAATTTTCATTGAAAAAAATGATTCCATTTTTATTGAAAATGGAAAGCAAGTGAAAAAAATGAACAGGCTGACCAGCTTGTTTGCTCTGCTAGAGAAAATTGTGTGAGGATTTGATTTAAAAGAACAGGAACACCAGCTATAATTTAAGGCTCCTAATTAAAAGATACTCAGGACTAAGTTTCAAGCTCATTGCTAAGAAGAGGGGAAGGTTTCAAAACAAAAGGAAGTTGCTTTCCCCACACAGCAGTGCTGCTCCAGATCTAAAATATTCTAATTATTTAATCCAGCATCTCCTCAGGACAGTTACACATCAGGATCTGACAAGGCAAAAGCAGCAGGAATAAGGTATACAATGGAAGTCAGAATACATTTCACACATGGCCTCCCCTCAACAAACCAAGTGGATTTGTCCATGGGAAGGTTACAAAATCCTTCATCATTTAGTTGTAGTCACAGCAAAGAGTCTCTTTGTACTAAATATGGGCAGAACATAATGTGCTTAGCAGTGGGTATTTGCTTTTCTTACAGTTTTGTCAAGAGGGGGATGGATTTGCATGCCAAAGCGGGTCATGACAGTTTGAAAAAGCAATTCTATGCTTGAAAATCCTGTGTCTGTGACCCAGACTTCGGGGGTGTTACCAGGCCAGTGTGAGCCCACTCTGAACACTGGGGCTGAGGAAGGGCTGAGGAAGAGTCAAACTGGTGATTTCAGGCTAAAATATCCCATGGATGTCTAAGGGAAGCATTCCACCTCCCTTAGGAACTCTTCAGCATGGGGCAGGTTTAAAGTGCTCAGTGTTTAAAAATTCTGGGAGAACAACTCCAGTTCTTGGAATCTGACTCAGCTGGGAGGGACATAATTTCAAACTGTCCCAGAATGGAAGGAGAGGAGGGATAACTACGGGAATCACATGAAATTAAACTGTCTTCCAGCTCCTCTGAATGAAGGCTGTGTGCCCTCAAGTAGTTTATTGTTCAGCCAAGGAGAGAAAGGGAGGTTTGTGAAAAGGGAAGTGAGCAGGTTTCCTTACTTTGACATAGTCTCTGCAGACAGATCTTCAGGATTCCTTACTTTTGTTTCTCCTGAAAAAAACCCAACCCAAGTTAAGTTCACTTAAGTTGAAAAGCTTCAGGCCCCCTCAGGACTTAGAGCAGTGATGGTACAAAGCTTTTAGGCACAGATATGAAGAGCAAGCCTGCTGCAATGAACATGAATAATTAAGAAACACAGAATTAACAGGAACACTTGGTACTGTGGGTAGGAAACACTGCCCATAACTGTTCTTTATGGATCTTAAAATGAAAGAACAGTCCTGATTTCTCATGGCAAAGACCACTTAAAGGTTATGAAATACAAAAGAGGGCTTGGTGGAAGGAAGTAGTCCACCAGTGTCTCAAGCAAAAGTTCAGGGGGACTCAGCTTCTGACAGAAACCAGTCTTCCATCCCTGCTTTTGAATCAGAATTGGGATGCCTTAAGGATGTTTTCCAAGTCATCCTGAGAGGAATCCCTTTAAAAAATGGGAGCATGCAACACGCTGATTTGACTCCAGATTTATTTCTCGGACTTACCATGGCCTCGGAGGTCTAAGGCCACAATCCTACACTGGATCCTGTTAATGATTGCAGACTGCAAGGAGAAACAGAGAGAATATTTGCAAAGTGGGATTAGCAACAACAAGCACTCCCTAAAAACCCTTCACAGCCACTAAAATGGCTGAACTGGACTGGATGGGGTGTTACACAACATAAGCAAAAATATTCTGTGAGACTGTCCTTAATGGGCCAAAGCCCCATCCCTGTGAGCATCCCACTGCTAATGAGGACAGTCCTTCCACTGTGTGTAGGACATGAAGTGGGTTTCCTGGGATCACAAACTTAAGCCCTGCAGCACCTCTGAGAACTGGAACAGCAGTGGGATTACAGACACCAAAGGGATTCTCTTGCTTTGCGAGCCCCACATGGTACCAAATTACTCTTGGCTCCGTGGCTGACAGAGGTGGTGCAGCTGCTTTGAGTACAGGTTCAGTTTGCTCCCAAAGGATAGAATTTTACAGGCTGAAATGTATAAAAATTGATTAGTCCAAAGAGGTCAGGGGAAACAGCTGAGGAATCTTCTTCAGGTAAGGCAGAGCATAATAATTGCAACACAATTATGGCTCAATTTCTCCCAGACAGATCAATTTAACGAAGTTATTTCAGGCATCACAGAGAAGTGGCGTGTTTGGTTGACAGGAAGACTTCTGTGTTAAGGAATCATTGATCATTTAAATAACAGCCCAGCAGAAGTGGAGGAATTTGCTGAGGGATTCTTAATAAAACCACCTACACAACTGGCAAAAGCTACCCAGACCTCAAAGCTACCCAGTCCTCTAACTTTGATTTTTCAGCTATTCAATTTTTAAATGACTGGAGCAGTTAGCTGCTTTCCCCAGACCCATTGAATCCACAGATTAGCATTTTCCAGCCCCTAAAGACAGCCCAAACCCTCCATCTGCAAGGTGCCCCTGCACCTAAGTGAGAACCCCCATCAAGCAAGATAATGTTGTTATCTTTAAAATACTGTTTTCCCGTGTTTCCCAGAGGTGAATGGGTAACTGCCTTCCACACTCAGAGAGCTCCATCTCCACACATTTCTTGCTACAGAGCAGCAGCTTTACTCACAGTAAACACAGCCCAGGACAGAGCAGAGTGGCCTCCACCGTGTAACAGCAGCAAGACAGGCCCCTCCAAGCCACTTTTGTAAATTCGAAAAGTGTATGAACAGTTAAGGACATTCCACAGAGTTACTTCAAGGCAGTAGAATGAATTTTGGAGCTTGCAATACCAAACAGTGCTTTATTTCTATCCTTCATTTATCTGACCAACAGGAATTTTCAGGCATTACCTGGACAAAAATGTAACTCAGTTTAAGCTTCAAGAGTTGTATTCCTGCTGCCCAGGTTTTCTCCCCCACCTATAATTCACTCATCCCCTGTCCTTTTCTCCCTGGGAAGTGAACTAAGAGAAAACTGGAAATTCATTAGGAAAAAAAGATGGAGAGTTATTTTTTACATGGGCAAAATAATGAGAGGGCAAGGAAATGGTTTTAAATAAGAAGGGGGATTTAGATTAAATGTTCATAAGAAATTCCTCCTTGTGAGGATGGTGAGGCCCTGGCATAGTGTGTCCAGAGAAACTGTGGCTGCCCCTGGATCCCTGGAAGTGTCCAAGGCCAGGCTGGATGGGGCTTGGAGCAGCCTGGGATAGGGAAAAGTGTCCCTGCCATGGCAGGGGTGGCACTGGATGGGCTTTAAGGTCTTTTCCCACCCACACCATGCTCTGGTGGCTCCATGATTCATGATGGGCACCTTGTCCACATTTGATGAAGGGCTGTGCACTCCCCCCGAGGTTTAATATAAAATAAAAAGCATAGTGGACCTGTTTGGATAGGTTGTGTATAGAAGCATCCCAAATTCAAGCAATCTTAGCTGTTGAGGATTTATTCTGCTGCCTTCAGCAGAAGCTTGAGATCCCGTGTGAAAGGCTGTGGACAGATGTGACCTGTGGAAGCAGCTGAAGGAATGACTGGGTTGGTGCCCACTGCTCTGCCCCAGAGCCCTGGTTAGAGCTCCAGCACATCCCCTGTGTGCACAGACCCCAACACTTCTCTTGGGTGTTAGTCACAGTGTCAGGCACTGAACAGAGACCCCACACCTCCCAGGGTGTTTGGAGAGAAGTGACCTGGAAGTTTGGTTTTCCTAATGGCATTCCTGTCTTGGAGAGGAAACATCTACAGAAAAACCTCTGGCTGGCACTGCCAGAAGACACTGAGGGCACCACAACCTCTGCCTTGGCCAGAAATTTGGAAGTATTTATTCACATCCACATGTTTCTGCCAAGGTTTATCTGTTGTACTGCTGCCACCAAACTAACTGTAGTTAATAAAAATCAATGAACAGCTTTGGGCCTGATATGGTTTGAATTATGAGAACTTGATGAGTGTTTCCCTGCAAAATATGCTATTGGACTGTTGGAAACACTTTTTGAAAATTAACGATTACTAAAGAAGCAATATCAGGAATTGGCCTTGCTAGGTACAGTTCAACTGTCAGCCTAGAAGGGACAGTTCTATTTCCTGACACTGAACCCTGCAGGAGGCATAATGGAGGATGAGAAGGAACACATGAAAAAGCTGAAGAACCCAAATAAACGAAAAAAACCCATGATACCTCCCCAGTCTCTGAGATTATGACAAATTCAATATGGGGGAAAAAAAAGGATATATCCTTGCCAGTGTCATTTTCTACCACAACGTCCTCCATAGACTCAAAGTACTGGCTCCAAAGCACTGGTGAAAAATCACGCTTTCTTCCAGGGCTGCAAGACAGAAAAAATCCCATAAGAAAGAGTTATTTTTAAATTCTTCCACTGAAATTGGCATCCAGGCCTCCTCTCACTGAAGAGAACATGCTGGTGTTACACAACAGTTCGGACTGGAAGCAAACGGCACATCAGTGAACTTCCCATACAATCACAATGTTCAGAATTTTACTGTCAGTGAAGGAATCCTCCCCTTTTTCCCCTCCCCAGCTGTTGCTCCTATCAAGGAAATGTAGCAGAAACAGAGAAAAGAGTACTTTCCTCATCAAGTAATTCCAAGGAAGACTGAACAATGGTGATTTAGTGTACCCAAGCCAAAGGAAAAAAAAGGATATATCCTTGCCAGTGTCATTTTCTACCACAACGTCCTCCATAGACTCAAAGTACTGGCTCCAAAGCACTGGTGAAAAATCACGCTTTCTTCCAGGGCTGCAAGACAGAAAAAATCCCATAAGAAAGAGTTATTTTTAAATTCTTCCACTGAAATTGGCATCCAGGCCTCCTCTCACTGAAGAGAACATGCTGGTGTTACACAACAGTTCGGACTGGAAGCAAACGGCGCATCAGTGAACTTCCCATACAATCACAATGTTCAGAATTTTACTGTCAGTGAAGGAATCCTCCCCTTTTTCCCCTCCCCAGCTGTTGCTCCTATCAAGGAAATGTAGCAGAAACAGAGAAAAGAGTACTTTCCTCATCAAGTAATTCCAAGGAAGACTGAACAATGGTGATTTAGTGTACACAGACCCAAGCCAAGGGAAAATAAACAGAACAGTGATACTGTCCCAGTACCACCTCCAAGTTTGCAATGACCCACAGACAAAAGGTGCCCAGCTGACAAACCAATTTATTTTTTGCTTCCTTCAAAAGGTGCAGCTGTGTCCTCTCCTTGTACCCCCCTTACTGACAAAAGGCTCTGCAATCAGAATTTTCCTGATGACTCAGTCGATGCAGAATTTGTTTCTCAGGCTGGTATTTACTCAGTAAGACTAAAAGAGTAGTGCTTAATTTTGGAAGTGGCATAATTAGGCTCAATTCGAGCCCAGGATACAGGATGAGTAACAGTGCACCATTTTAACCATGTTTTTGCACTTCAGCTCTTCTGGGGGAGGCAGGCAGGCAGCACAGAATATTAAAATCAAGCATGGGCGTGAGGGGTGAAAGACCTTCAGAGCAGAAAAATCCCTGCTGAAGAAGTTTCTCCTGAATTCTTGGCTTCCTAAAGAAACAGAAAATTACAGACAAAGCAGCTTTTCAATTTTGTAGAAACAAAATTTCTGTTTCCCCTGGTGTTTCTAGGATATGAGACATAAACCAGCCACCCCCTGAATGGACCAAATTCCCTCCTGTGGGTTTCCAGACTTCTTGTCAAATCTCAATTAAATAAAATGAGAAGTCACACACCTACATAAATCCAGAAAATATTAATCTCTTTTACCGCCTCAGCCTAATCTCATTCTCTGATCAAGGAAAAAAAAACCACATTCAAAGCTTAATTTTTCCCTGGAAGCCATCCCAGCCCTGATCACATGCTCTCTCCATACCAGTTCTGGTTCTTTCTGGAGATGCACAGAACTGCCCACAGCTTGGATGATTTCCCTTCTCTGGGTTTTGAATAGGTAGGATGTGCAGCTAGCGGAAATAAATTCCATCACCCTTCAAAATGCAGCATTTCAACTGCAGCCAGGCTTTTGCACAGCATGTTACAGCTGCTTTTGGGTTCCGCTGCCCTCAGCAACTGCAGGTGGTCAGTAAATGTTGTCATCTGCCTGGCTACAGCCCCTCCCACCTGATCCATAAATCTGGGGGACAGCAGGACTCCCTGGTGACCCAGCCCGGGCACTGCTGTGGCACCAGGAATCTGGGGGGGATGTGGCTGACCGATCAGCTGTGTGCCAAGCGAGCCCGTTCTTGTGGAAGCAGGGCTGCAGGATGGACAGCCACTGTTACACAGGGGAGCACAGCAGCCTCTTGGGGGTGCCAGAAAATCACCTTTCACCAGACCAGGCCTCTCCAAGCCCATCCAGCCTGGCCCTGGACACTTCCAGGGATGAGTACTTCTGTGTCTCCTTCAAAAGCCTTTTCTGACAGCAGAATTTACATGCAAGAGGCAGACAGGTGCAAATACCGAGGCAGATCCATGGAGAGAATCCCATGACCTGCAAAGAGGAACCCATGGCACCGAGGCAGAGCCCTTCCCTAGCAATGCCTCAAATTCAGCTTAGCAAGAGTGAACACCTCCAGAGAAAATGTTAGTAGCTGTGTCACACGTGAAGTATCTGGGAAAAACATACAGCAGAACTCCTGTGCTGGCAAGGGAATTGGAGCAGAAAGTGAAGAGGAGATGGGAATTAAAAACTATCATCACCTCTGATGCAAATACGTGTTGATCATGATTTAAAACAAAATACTTGCATCCAAGCAATGCTGAGGAAACGTGAGTGACCTCAGGTTTAACACTGAACCCCCAAAAGGGCAGAATAAATGTGCAGTTTTCCACAAAATCCCAGGTGACCACAGAGGGTTGAGCAAAAACATTTCTCCAAAGAAAAGAATCTTTGGAGTTTTTCTTGAGCTGCTTTTTTTAGTGAAGCATCAACACACATTCAAAATTAGAAGTGTGCCCAATAAACAGCAGCTGTGGTTTTGCACCTTCCTATGTTGAAGTCATATTTTGCTGACCAATATTTAAGGTGACAGAACTAATTACAGGTTTTTAAAGTATCCAGCAAACCAAAACAGAAATGGATCTGACATAATAACTTTTCTAGACTGATCCTTAAACTCCAAGCCAGCCAGCCAGCCAGCATATTAAACTGGAATTACAAAACAAATTCTGGGCACCCTCTGTTTTATCCTATTGTGCAGTTTGTCCTCTTTATCATGTCCTCAATCCTTAGGATGCCCACATGGCTCAGCAAATCTCTCCCCAATTTTTGAAGGGGTTTTCTTTCACGTATTTTCCTAAAATGAAAAACAAAAACAAAAACAAGGTTGCACCAAGCAGAAGGAGCCATTTTCAGAAGGTCCTTTTTCTGCTGAGAGCCCCTATTTAAAACTACTAAAGTAAATATAGAACAAGTGCATGAATCAGGAGATTTCATTCTCACATCATATTTGAACCCAAGCAAATCAAACATCATCTACAAGTAAGAACTGCCACGGCTGACAAGTTGTATTTAGAAATTCTAAAAATTGACAAGGACAGTATCTTAAGTTCTGCCTTAGAGATGCTGAATACATAAAATGTTTTTTTTATTAAAAGGATTCCAAGGGGAAAAAGTGGATTAAAAAGGAAAAAATGAGTAGGAATTGCCATGATTGAATTACACAGATCTGATCCAATCATGCCCTTCTAGATAATTGAAAGATCCTCAGAGATTGTACGTGATTTTTACTCACACATTGGAAAGGAGCAACAAACTGACTTTCACTTTTAAATCCCATCCAGGTGCTTAACTCTGAATGAGCCACTAGCAAAAAACAAAAGGCAAAAAACAAGACAGGAAATGCAGAATCTGCTGCCGTGGGGGGTGACTTTACAAATTCTATTATTTTATTTCCCCACAGAACACAGAATCAGGCCATAAGCCTGATTTTGTTTTGCTTTGTGATTTTGATTTTGTTTTTGGTTTTCATCAGTCAAGCAATTCGAAGGAATCACTTGCAATTCCCAACACAGCCTTGGCTATGAGCGCTCCTTAAAGAAATGGACAGGAATTCCTCCCAGAGGCTGAGTTTCACATATTGCTCGAGCCAAAGAGAAGCTCCAGCCTCCTTGGAAAGGGCCTTTTGGAACCATCATTTCTGCTGGAGAGCACTTAAATCCAGGGAGCAGAGGACTGTGCTAGCAAAGCAGGAATCGATGCCACGTGCCATGAAATACACTGGAATTCCAGCACACATCCCATGCTCCTGCAAAGCCCACTCCAAACTATGCCACAGGAGCCATGCTGGATATCAGGGAGAATTCCTTCCCCAAAAGGGCTGCCCAGGCCTGGCACAGGTGAGTCCCCACCCTGCAGGGACTGAAAGCTGTGTGGATGTGGCACCTGGGGACGTGGGACAGGGGTGGTGGCCGTGGCAGCGCTGGGGGAAAGGTTGGACTCCAGGATCTTAGAGGGCTTTTCCGGCCTGAACAATTCAAGGATTCAATTTGCTTCGGCCAGTTTGACTTCTCAAATGAGACTCTCCCACAGAGAGATATAAGGAAGTGATTGTACTGAAAAAATAGCAAGAAAAGAATAAATTTTAAAGAAAAAGCTAGGAACAAGTTTATTTTCACACATTTAAATGTAGCAACAGGTGCCATTGTTTTATGAACTACTGAAACACACATTAACCTTTTAACAGCATATTGCCAAAAAATGTAAGACTTTATTTCAGTAAATTCTATTTTTCTGTAGCAATCTCACATGCTTGACCCTCTGCTTCTCAAGATCTGCTTTCAGCTACACCACAGTCACATTAAGATGACCTGCATGGTGGGAAAAAAAGGGAATAAAAAGAAAGTGCCCAACACACCAGTCAGAGGATTTAGCCACGGAAAACTCAAGTTGCTGGCATTCTTGGATATTAAGGTTAAACCCATTTTCTAAAAAGCCTGGCTTGCAATTCAAGAAATTGAAAGCACAGAAATAAATCACATTTATAAATGTGAGATGCTTAATGCAGCAAATAAATATTTTCCTAAGTTTAGTTATTTCTGTTCCCTGTGGAAGTTTGAATTTTGAAGGACTATTTCAGTGCAGCCCTGTACACCTGCCAGCACTGCAAATCACACTGTTTTCCCTGTACAGCTAATCCCAGGATCTTTTGGTGGAATTCTCCTCAGGGGGAATCTTGCACTTGTTTGAACAGAACTGCACTTTGGTAAGGATAAGCTCAGCCTAAGCTAAACTTTCTATCCCACTTCCTCTTGTCTCCTTCTGCCAGAAGCCCCGAGCCCCTCCGGACGAGGCCATTCCATGCTGGATGTGCAGCGCCTCCCACAACAGGAACACCACCTGTGAAGGGATTTACTGGGTGGCAAATCAAACCACAACATGGTTATCAACTACTCCCCACTGCTTCCAAGGGAAGACTCCAGGGGAATTCTTGATCCTTAACCACAGCACTGGATTTTGTTTCATTCATAATAATTTCCCTGACAGTGTTTAAAACCCCTCCAGTGCATGGTAAGAGAGGAAGAATTATATAAGTTAATACATGTTACACCCTTAGACACGGGTCAAACTTCTCCCACAGCTCCCAGAATGTGCTCTCAACCCCTGCTTAAGAGATTAAAGTATCCCAGATTTTTCCATCATCTCGAAATGCAGATTTAACCAGGGATTAAAGTCACTTGGTGGAGCACACCTCCTTCACATGGGTGCCTGCGGCTGAGAAATCCCATTTCACAGAATCATGGAATATTCTGACATGGAAAGGGACCCTCAACAAGGATTATCAAAGTCCAACTCCAGCTTAGGAATTCAACTTCTGAGAATTTCCACACACCTCTCCCCCCAGCCACACTCTGAGGTACCGCCCAGACATGGTGCTGGACCCTTCCTCCAAACAGTGATGGCAAAGGACTGGGAGAAAAGGGCTGGAGAGCTGATCCCAGCACCTGCCACCTTCCCCCAGCCTGAGGATACGCCGGGCACTGATTCCTCTGCGGCTGGAGAAGCCTGATCCAGGTGCCACTCTCCTGGAGCACGGGGAAGCAGGAGGACCACCCCTCCCTCCAGAGCCCCTAAGAATGACCATTCCCTGTCCAGATCCCGCAGAATGACCATTCCCTGTCCAGATCCCCCAGCATGACCATTCCCTGTCCAGATCCCCCAGTAGTGACCATTCCCTGCCCCGATCCCCCATAATGACCATTCCCTGTCCCGATCCCCCAGGACGAGCTCCCTGCTGTCCAGATCTCCCGATAATGCCCATTTCCTGTGTCCAGACCCGGAATAACGTGCCTCCCTTCCTCGTAGATTCCCCCAGTAAAGACCCCCGTCGCTCAGACCCCAAGAGAGCCGCGGCCCCGCAGAGCCCCCGCTCCGCCGTAACCTCTCCCCGCGAACTCCCCCCGATCTCCGCATCCGCCCCTGCCCTTCCTCCGCCTACCCCATGCGCATCTTGGACCCGGACTGGCCGCCGCCGCCGGGCAGCGGGGGCCGAGGCGGGAGGCGGCCCAGATGCAGCTGTTTCTCCAGGGCCGACATGACAGCTAGGGACGCGCCGGGAACACCGGGAACACCGGGACCCCCGAGCCGCCCCCGCCGCCCCGCCCCGCCTCGCCGGAAGCGGCTCCCCCAACAGCGCCGCCGCGCGGCACCGAGCGCGCCCGCCCGCGCGGCACCAAGGGAAACGTAGTCCGCGTCCCCGCTGCGCCCTGCGGGACGCGGGGCAGCACGGGAGCTGTAGTCCCCGCCGGGCGGCGGTTACCGGGCGGGCGGCGCGGGCGGGATGCGGCGGAGGGGAGGTGCGGGAGCGGCGGGCGGCGGAGCGGGGCTGGGGGGATACGGCGGGGATAGAAGCGCGCAGCGCTGGGGCGGGAGGCGGCGCGGGTGCTCGCGGTGATGCACGGCCCGCTGACGCCGCCCGTCCCCGCAGGTCCCGAGCCCGCCGCCGCCAGCCTGCCGCCGCTGGTGCAGGGCCCGCCGCGCTGCCTGCTGCGCTGCAGCGTGCCCCGCGTGCTGTGGGCGGCCCCGCAGCCGCCCGCCGTGGTGCGGCTGCGCTGGTGGGGGGACAGCTCCGGCGGCACCGTGCTGCAGCCCGCCGGGCGGCCCGGACAGCCCGCGGGCAGGACCTGCGCCCGCTTCGCCGTGCGCTGCGGGCCCCGGCAGCTCGCCGCCTACCTGGCAGGTAGGGAGCGCCGGCACCGGGTGGGACCGGGCTGGCACCGGGCTGGCACCGGGCTGGGACGGGGACAGAGGCTCCAGGGGTGCCAGGGCGGCTCAGGCCGGGCATCGGGGGAGTTCCTTCCCGGGCACGGTGATGGGGAGCGGGCTGCCCTGCGGTTACCCTGCAGCAGTGTAAGCCGTTCCCCTTGGTCCTGCCGCAGGCGTTCCTGTTCTGGGAATCCTGGGCTTATTCATCATCATTTACTGCCAGGAGTAATGGATGTATTCACCCTTCTTTACCTGCTGCCCCTTGTAGGACATAGCGTCAGTCTCTGGCATTTCTGTCGTTTTAGCCAAAAAGTGTCACTTGTGGCCATGAGACTGACCTGAAGGTGTTCCTGATTTTTGCAGATATGGGCGTTCTTGTCCTGGAGGTTCTAACCAAACGTGACCACCTGCCCCTTGGCAGAGCACAGATCACTAAACTGTCCCAGCTCTCTCCCAGCCATCCCATCAAAGGGTCTTTTGCCGTGCTGTCACCAACATCGGATAAACTCGGAGAGCTGCAGGTAGCCTTCATGTCTGTGCTCATTATTACATGGTAATATGATATTAATATCAATTATGCGCTGTGACACTGGCACAGTCAGGTGCGGGATCAAGCTGTACGTGGCACACTGCAGGCCTGCTCTCTGTCCAAGGCATTTCTGAGCTAAGGTAACAAATGAAGAAAAAACAAATACTGGCAGTCTTTGCTTTGTTTTGTTTGGAGAGATATGGGGTAGTTGAGCTTAATGAGGAACATGTGGTCTCTACACAACATGTGGGTATTAACAGTGGATTTAAAATGGGTATTGGTTCTTACACTTCACTGGAATAATAGAAGATTTTAACATCTGAAATTAAGAAAGTTCTGTCTTGCAGCCCTGTCTCTGTAAAACTGATTAAGAAAGGCAGTTGACTGGATTTGAAAATGAGGAACAAGTAGTTGTAAATACGTGACATAGCTGTGTGATATAAATATTACTTTATGTAGAAAAGCAGCAGCTTTCCATTGCACAACAGGTGAAGTTGATGCAATGTTTATTGCACTTAGATAAGAAAAGAACAAAGCAATATTTGCACATCTTGTCTTCCAGGTGTCACTGGTTCTAGAGCCTCTGCCAGAACTGTATGGCACCAGCAGCTGTGTGCCAGCCACACAAGGAGGTTCAGATGCTGCTGCTGCTGCCCAGGGAAGCAGCAAGTCCCAGCTTCCTGCTCCATCCCAGCAGCCCAGGCACACCCAGGTGGCTGTTGAACAGGAGTCTGTTGACAACAGCAAAGCCACATCTCCTAGGTACCCTTTTTTCTTTTTTCCTCGTGACAAAACTGTGGTTTATTTTGCAGTTCACACAGAATTTTTAAGCATTGTCAGTTCACTTGTGAGTTATGGGGTGTTTCATCTTTTCAAACATGCATTTTATGGGAAATCCAGGATGTTGAGGGTTTCCAAGGTGACAGGGACAATTTCTTGTCTGACAGAAATTTGCTTTTTAGGTTGACTTAGTTCAAGTCAAGCAAGATCACACAAGAGGTGCCTCAAATCATCAAATCACCAAATAATTTGGGTTGGAAGGGATCTTAAGGCTCATCTCATTTCATCCCTGCTGCCAGAGCACCTTCCACTGTCCCAGGCTGCTCCAAGCCCCATCCAGCCTGGCCTTGGACATGGATGAGGCAGCCACAGCTTCTCTGGGTAACCTGTGCCGGAGTCTCACTGTGCTCCAGAAAAAAACTTTCTCCTGGTATCTAATGTAAACCTACCCTCTGGCAGTGGGGAGCTGTTCCCCCTTGTCCTGTCACAACGTGCTCTTGTAAAAAGATCTAAAAGCCTTTCTTTTGAAAAATCTTTTACTTGCACCTTGGGTGGGTCTCTCTGATGGTCTCAGTGGCAGGTGAGGAATCATTAAAATAATGATGTCATGTTTCCTTTTGGAGAATTTGCAGAGTTCTGAATCCCTTTACCCACGCCCTGGAGTTGTCCCTGAAATACAGTTTCATTTTTCCCTAGAGGAAAGGACCGTTTGCTCTACAGAGAGAACTCTGAGAACGCGAAGGACACCTTTCCTGCTCCTCGTGCCCGTGTGATTTCACCGGATGAGCATGTGGAAATGAGCCCTGAGAATCAGCCCCTGTCCTTGCCCACCAGCAGCGATCCCAGAGCGCCTCCCGGGGGGAGCACGCGCCTGCTCTCCGTGCGCAGCCCGGCTGCGAAGGACCTGCTCTCAGGTTGGTGTGCCGCTGCCTCCATCCTTTAGACTTCACTGCAAACAGCTCCCGGTGGTGTTTCGTCTGCCTGTCTGCGTTTCTGAAGGGAAAGAGAGACTTCACACCCTCTTGCTCCATTATTCCAAAAAGGCCTTGCCTTAAAATCCACTCTTGCCTGGGCTGGATTGGGATCGGCATCGGAGTAGGGCACGTTTCCATATGTGCTACCTTTTGAGTTCCATATTTACAGGAAAGAACAAAAATTAGACATCCTGAAGTGGCAGACTGCTCTTCCCTCAATTAGTCCTGCTTCTGTATCCTAAAAGTGCCCTTCAGTACCTGACCCTGTGTGTGCACAAATTCCCTGTAGAGTGGAGTGGGAGGATCACCCTCCCTGGCTCCCAGCTCAGCTGTTTTCTGGTGTATAAAACGTATCTGATCCCCAGTGCGCCAAGATCTCTTTTTAACAGCAGAAAACAGGTTTCTTTGACTGTAGCTGACACATTGATTGTGTCTACACGTGGCTTTTAAAAAGCACTTGAATGCTGAAATGTAATCCTTGTGCTTGTTTCCCAGCTCTCTTGGATCAAGGCAGTAAACTCCGTGATGCCATGGTTGTTTCTGCAATGAAGTCCAGCCCAGACATGGAGATTGAACTGAAGAAAATGTCTCATTTTATAGAAACAGACAATTTTATAGCACCAACAAAGTGAGTTTGGACTGGGGGAAGTGAGATTCAAGCTCCAGACCATAGATTTTGAGGCTTTATCCAGAAAACTGTAGATACTGAGATTCATAGGATGTGTTTTTGGGTCAAAGCAGCACATCATTCAAATGGGAAGTTAATTTCTACCTGTGAATAAATGCCTAAATTTTGTAAATTCATTCTAATCTTCATGTAGTAAGCCTTGATATAAGTATTTGATT